GCTGCAAGCGGCGCGGCCCGGGCGCGGCCGGGAGGGCGCAGGTCTGTCGCTGGCGGCGGGGAGCGGGCCGCGCCGGTGCCCGCTGCGGAAAGGGGCGCGCGCGCGCGGGGTCTCGCCCCGCCGGTCTGGGCCGCAGAGGTGGCGAGCCGGGCGGACACCGGGCTGCGGCGCTGCTCCCAGCTCGGCCGGCGCCCTTGCGCGGGCATCTTGTTTTTGCTTGGGTGCCCGGAGCTAGTGGAAGGGCGTGACGGAAGCGGCGCCGCTTCCGTGTCTGCAGCGCCGTCTCGGGGGGGGGGGGCCGCCCGGGAAACCGGGGTGGCCGAACCCGGGCCCCTTGGCCAAGACCACCCGTGTAGCCATGGGCAGCCATGCCCTGTTCTCACGTGCGAATTTATTGGATTCACCCTTCACCTTTCCACCAAAAAGGCACTCGAGGCAGCTCACAAAATAACCGTAAAACCAGCTACACTGCAGTAGAGGTTTTGGCTGGATCAGCAGTGGAGGCAGAAGGGGAATTCTTCACCCCCTCCTTTGCAGGACAGCCCCTCCATCCCTGAAATGCTGCAGCAGGATCCCTGTTGCAAAGGGTGAGCTGTGGTGTAGAGGCGGATCCCACACACAACTGTGGATACAGCAGCATAGTGTTGGGGAAAAAGACCCGGTTTTGTTGATTTCTCATGAGCAGGGCTGAGAACCAGCAGGCTTACTGCCCCATGGTGGGTTGGGCGCTTTGTCTGGCACCCTTGGGATGGCGTTTGGCAGTTTGTAAACGGTTCGGTGTCTCTCCTCCTATCAGGAAGCTTCTGATCTCAATGCTTCCAAGTACCCAGGGAGGCTGGCTGGAGGGAGGACATGATTTTCACATGATTTTCATTTTCAGCCTTTCCCAACCTTGTGCCTTAAAGGCATGTTTGGACTGCAATACCAAAAATTCCCAGTCAATGGTTCTGTTGGATGGGAGTTCTGGGAGTTGCAGTCCAATGCCTGAAGGCCACCAGGTTGGGGAAGACTGCTCCAGGTGGGACCTTGTAGCTGTGTCTGTTCCCCGTCCATCAGAATATCCCCTTTTCTTTGGCCCAGGAGCCATTATTACAGTTAATAGTTTCATTTCTGTACTGCCCCAACACTGAAGCTCTGTTTACAATGACACTTAAGATACAGTAGAGGTACTAATAAAAATTACAATACAAATTTAAAAGCCAAAGTTAAAACAATTTTTCAAAAAGCTGCAATAGTTTATACAAATTAAATGATACAACATTTAGTAGATACTACCTAAAAATCCCATAATAATCACAGTAATATCCACAGCATAAGCATGCACATTATGCACAGGAAAGCTAGAGGCTTGAAAAACTGGATACCTAGTTGTGCAAATGCATATGAGGAGGGTCTGCTCATAAATGCTGACTACCTCTCCGTTACTCCCCACCTGACCACGGATGAAGGGGAGGGAAAACTGGTTCAAAGCCTCTGAGAGAGATGACAATGAATGGGTAAAGTTCCTGTGTAGTGGTGGGGGAGGTTCCACTATAGAATTGGAGTTTTAATGTATTTGAGAAAATATATTCTTAATAACCCGTGTTCTTGCAGACATGCGTATCATACAGAATGTTGATCTGTTGCAGTGAACAATGCTTTATATGCTTGTTACAGCTATGCTGGCTAGGGAGAGATGGGAGTTTAGGATATTTTTCTGTCTGAACCTGTATAGCATTGTGCCCTCAATGTACCTTTCCTTTGGGGCAAGTGAAACCGAACCGTTTCAAGGTATTATGCCATGTCCTGTTGTTCTTCTCCCGCAGTATGGCTGGGATCACTCCGTGCACAAGAGGAAGCGGCTTCCCCCAGTTAAAAGGTCCCTTGTATGCTACCTGAAAGGAAGAGAGGTGAAGGTGCAGAATGAGTCCAGCTACCACCGGCTCCTGCATGGATATGCAGCCCAGCAGCTGCCCAGCCTCCTGAAGGAAAGAGAATTCCACCTGGGAACCCTGAACAAGGTGTTTGCCTCACAGTGGCTGAATCATCAGCAGGTGGTGTGCGGGACAAAATGCAACACAGTAAGTCCAGGTTCCCTGCTCATTATGCGGCTCACAGCACAGGTGAGAAAGAGGCCCAGCAAAGAGACCGCTGGCCCGTGTTTTTGTGGCGCTTGTTGCAATCAAGCGCAGCACCAATCCCCTTTCTGGGGAGATGCAACATTTGGCTTCCCTGACAGGCAGGAACCATCACTTCAATATTATGATGACTAGATGGTCTTTCCGCTAGTTCCTTGCCCTTCAGGAGAGGAGGGATAGTAATTGCTTTCCACTCATCGCTCGGCAGAAGAGCGGGTCCCGTGGATGTCAGTGGTCCTTGGCATCACCCCGTAAAAAGATCTCAGTCAGCAGGTGCTTGAGGCGGGAGGGTGGGGGCTGCTCTCCAAGAGGCAGGCGACTCTGCAGGTTGTGTGAATGGCCATTACATTCGACCAGCGTACCGTTCGCATTCTGGATGACTTTCCTACAAGTCTTTCCTTGTAAGAAGGAGCTGCTGGCTTCCATCTAGTGCACGCTAAAAAAAAATCAATATTTTCCTTTTTGAGTTGCACACAGGATGAACCAGACAAATGGTGTGCTCGGCCCCTCCTTGGCCTGTGGCGTAGAAAACCATGGGGCTGCTAGAAGGGGGCTAGGATGCTCTGCCGCTCCTCTCCCACTGTAGGAAAGTACTTTGTAGCCTAGCAACCATTGTCGAATTATTCACAGTGTTGAATTAATATATGGGAGATTTATAAACGATGGCATGCCAGGGCTCATGTTCTAGCTGTTACAAAGATCTACTGTTGGATCGCAATGTTAATTTCATGCTGCTGTTCATGGTTCTGGTAGGCAGAGTGTTCTAGTTAAATAACTGGGGTTACCATTCATTTTTCTTGCTCTATGTTCAGAGCTGATTGAATAGGTCAGCTCAATAGATTGAGCTCAAATTCAATAGACTGAATTTGTGAACTGACACCAAGAAGTGGTTCTGCCAATTAATTAATTGCAAAAACAGGAAATGTCCAGGTGGTGCTATTTATTTATTTTTCTCAGTCACATTTGCATTTTAAGATATATATGCAACACGGTCACATTATGGATACCCACAAGGCTACAGTCAATGCAATCCTGTGTTAATGGGTATGTTTCTCTGTCGTTAAACCAATTAGACCAAAAATCAAGGTGATCAGTTGGAGATCCATCCACTGATGAATGATTACATAGCCTTGGCTTATTTGCCCCTTCCGTCTCTTCCTCTGTTTTCCTGGTATTTGCTTTGAGATGGTAAGCCAGTTGGAGTAGAGACCAGCCTCTTCTCCTTGTAGAATGCCACATATGAACGATAACTGCTCAGATTAAATAAAGCGGCTTGGTTCTGAACCAGACCCGGCAAGTCTAGTATCTGTGGCAGCTGCAGTCGCTTTCCGGGGTTCCTTAGAGAGTTCCTGCTTAGCTCTACCCCGAAACTGACCCTGAGACCTTGTGCATGCTAAGCTGAGGCATCCTCTTGCATTTGGGTACTGTTAGCTGGCTGGCAGATCAGTGGACTGTGAGATACTGGCGGTTTGGCTGGTTGATCGGTGGGGCTTCTGTGCCCATGTGTCTCCCAGAGATCTCTTAAAACCGGAACCTGTGTGCCTTCTGGAAGGGCTAAAAAACTTGTTTGTTTTGGCCTTGAATAGTTCAAATTACTGGTTAAGGCATAAGTTGTATGCCTATGGTTTAATGAATGCTTTTAATTGGATGTACGTATTTCATGTCACATATAAAATGAAGCCTTTAAGGAGAAACTATCGAATTGCAGACCTTTCTAATTTAGCTAGCAAATGGTATATCAATATTACGTGTTCGTAACAATTAACAGCTCCTTTTCAAGGGAGACCGTTTTGTCATGTTTAAACTTGTTAGTGCCAAGAACAAGTTGTGATCTGATCTGACTTTGTTCTTAAACTATAATTTAAGCAAACCACAGTTCTTTGGCTTCAGGCATTACAGAGAACTGTGGTTGCTTTAAATCAGAAAGTGCAAATTCAAGGCCTAGTGGGAATATGCCTTTTCCCATAGAAGGGGCTGTGAGGCTGAGGCGGTGTGGGGACCCGGTGAAAAGGCAACTCACGCATTGGGTTCCCATAGCGCACAAAGCCAGCGAGCAAGGGCTGTGCTAAACTTTGTGTAGGGCATTGTGTGTCTCAGGTTGTTTAACCTCTCACAACCCACGTTTGCGGCATTTCCGCAATACAACAACCCCCAAGCAAGGGGTCTGTATGTGAGGCGGACCCTGAGGGATACTGGCTTGCCTTACTGATGTTATGGCAGGGGTGTGAAAACTTGTTGACTGCCTGATTTTATGTCCACTCTGTTAATTAGCATGTTTGTACTACCATACAGCTATTAATCAGTGGCAGATTTAATTCCCTATGATCAAATGTATTTTGTGCTGGTTCAGTCTCCTAAACCTATTTTTACAGTTTTCTGACACAGCTGTTAATTTCTTTCAGTTGTTTGTGGTCGATGTCCAAACTGGTCAGATTACCAAAATTCCCATTCTGAAGGATCGGGAACCTGACATGGTAAACCAGCAAGGCTGCGGGATTCATGCCATCGAGCTGAATCCTTCAAGGACGCTTCTGGCAACGGGGGGCGACAACCCGAACAGCCTGGCGATTTATCGGCTGCCTACACTGGATCCCGTCTGTGTGGGAGATGTAAGTTTCAAAGACATGGCTGAGCTTTATGTTAGCAACATCTTTTTATGGAATAGGAATGGTCAATATTTTCAGGAAGGGTAGCTAGCTTTGCTGACTCCATGCTTCCTGGCTGACAGTTCCTCTAGTGTAAAAGTGCCCCCTCCATGGGTTTTGGATTTTCTGTCCAACGACCGAAGATTGGAAAAATAAGCTCGCTAAATATGGAATAATGGCAAAATTAACCAATTATATAGATAGAAGACCTGCCAAAGCATTCGTTGAAAAATGGAATGCTTATGAAAAATTTAATATTTTTAAGGAAGCGGAACTTGTAAAAATATTAGAGACGTGTATTTCATGACATTATTTACAACTGTTTTGATAAAATAGATTAATCTGTAGTTCAACATTAAGTGAAGATTGATAGAGGAGATAGAAGGTTTTGCTTTCTCACGAATAGCTCAGATGTTTGAATTATATGCTATATTTCTGTACTATCCCTTGATATCCATTTTCACAAATATATTATTTGTACCTTATTTCTTTTTTATGATGGTTTTTGGATCTTTTTAGGGAATAACTTAGCATGTTTCCATAAGGAGCAGAGGCTGCATTGGTGCTTAAAGTGATAGAAGGACCACTTGCTTTGATACTGTTGGCCTAAGCCCTCATATTCCTATTTTCCTTCTTCAGGATGGCCATAAAGATTGGATATTTTCAATCGCATGGATCAGTGACACCATGGCTGTTTCAGGTAAGATTTAAACTTCTGCTGATGTCTTTGTGTTTGCAGTGTGTCATGATACCTGGTGGACTGACACTTCATTGACATTTATATTTTGTGGGGCATAATTTTTAGGCATGCATGTATGAATTGCTTAAGTTAGCTGTGGTTGTTTCTTTCTCCTCATGCACCCCCACCCCCCAGTTAACCCAGAAGGAGACCTGCAAACTTGGGATCTCACAAGCCTCAAACTATCCTCATCAAATAACGATTTGACATTCCTGACAGGCTTGGCTGGGCTCTGCATTGAGCTGATGTACGTTTATTACAGATTTGCATTACCGTATTTTTCGCTCTATAAGACGCACCTGACCATAAGACGCACCTAGTTTTTAGAGGAGGGATCCATGGAAAGCTTCCTGATCATCACAGGCACATTCCCCATCACTTCTCCATGGGCTTCATTAAAAGACGGGTTGCCATCTGAAAACACACACCGACCTGTGATTAACAGCTCTCACCTGCGCCGGGGGGGGGGGTGGAGCAGGGCGCGCCGAGCGCGTGCCGGCCAGGTGTGGTGCAGCCGGGCCGGCAGCGTGCTGGCGGTGGTCTTCCAGGCGGTGCGGCGGCGGCAGGTCTTCCCGGGCGGTGGGGGTGAGCAGTCCGTCTCTCTGTGCGGCTGGCGGGTTCAAGCCCACTGCTCCTCTTCCTCCGCATGCCTCTCTGAGCGGCACGGCTCTTACCTGTGCCGGAGGGGGGGGCGGAGCAGGGCGCGCCGAGCGCGTGCCGGCCAGGTGGTGCCACGTGGTGCAGGCGGCCGGCAGCGTCCTGGGCGTTGGGCACACACACATTCGCTCTATAAGACGCACAGACATTTCCCCTTACTTTTGGGGGGGGGGAAGTGCATCTTATAGAGCAAAAAATACAGTACTTGTCAAGAAAAAAAATCAATACATATGAGTGTCATGTATTTTCTAAATAAACATGCAGCTCTGAAACTCAATAGATTTGACTGAGAATCATAGATTACAGCTGGATAAAAATAAATTACAGTTTATAACAGGTTTGTATAAAACCTTCTTTCTAAATCAGATGATTTTTTTAAAAGAGTCATGGGGCATATATTTTTTAAATCCAATTTTTAAAGGGGAAAGAACCGTTAACAAAATCTCCCATGATTTCTCAGTTGGAATTCGAGTTGAGTAAATTGTTATGAAATCAGTTTTCTATTCATTTGTATCCATTTATATGCTAGGAGTTTGGCAGATGTTGCAGAACTAGTGCCAACTTATCTCAAAGTAAATCTTGAAGGTAGTTTTGAGCATAAGACGTTGCACTTCTTATAAGAAATAGCTGACTCTGCAGCTTCAGCCCAGTCCTCCTCTAAAATATTTTGTGCTGGTGCTCAGCTTGATCGGTGAAGCGGGGGACAGAGCAGCCATAACGGTTACTGAGGTCTGGGTTTTGAGGCCAGGTTTGCTGCCGTGTCAACCAGACCTGCCTCAGGGCCTGCACATTTACTCTCTGAGGTATAGACATTCCGCATGAATATAAGCCAGAGTGCCTCATGGAAGCCCACATCGCGCAGTCAGAATGCACTGATGACATACTCCATGTAGGCCACCCAGGATCCGGATTTTCAAATTGCTTGGTCCTTTCATTCTAAAGTATAACAGATGATAGAAGGGCATGGGACCAGGGGCAGGTGGATAAAAGGGCACTCCTGCATGAATGAAATACACAGTGCTGTGGCGAGCTGCACATTCACAGCGTCAAAATGTCTGCGCTGGACTCCGAGTCCCACATTGGATTCGTGCTGCATTCGTTCCTGTGGTTCTTTTTTCCATCAAGACCGAAAATGTTTGGTTCTTTGAGAGTATAAAGGCTTGACGGTGTAAAGAAGAAAATCTGCCATTTTGGCTTGGTTTTGTTTTTACTGTGGGATGTTGGCTAGAGGAGGTTTTATTCTCTCGTGGTTAAGAGGCAAGGAAATGTAACTAAGATTTTTCTTTTGTCGTGTGTCTCTTGGGGTAACTGTCCCTCCATTCCATCCTCTGCCTCCCTCACGAGCAGAAATGTCTTCTCCCTTCCAAGAGAGAGCCCCTCTCTGACACGATCGCTCTCCACTTTTGTTTGTTATTTAGTCCCTCTTACCCCTTAGAAGCGGTCCTTACCTTCCTTCCTTGAAATGCAAGCCGCCCTCTCTCCGTCTTTCTGCTGCTCCTTTTCTGTTGACTCTCCAATGACTCTACCAGGGAAATGCCCAGCAGTGGCAAAAGCATTTCTTTGTATCTGCTTGAAAAATAACCGCTCTCGGGCGAAGCAGGGGTCTGCCATCTCAGATCTTGCATCGCTACATCCCATTCCTTATCCTGAAGATAGAGCGGCCCGTGGGCCCATTTCCCCCCTCCTGTACCCACAGCCCTGCTGCAGAATTTGCACATCTTCAGAGCACAGACTGGGCCGTGGCTTGTGACAGGCAAGGACAGGCTCGGGTCCCGCCGTGTTGCAGTCCGGAGGCTGCAGGATGCGCTGAGTGATGCTGCCATTGTTTGGCCTGCTCGGTGCAGGGAGGCATTCGTGAGGAACGGCCGGGCTTCGTCTTGTCTTGCGGCCATAAAAAAACTCCGGAGAAACCCCGCGATGTTGCTGCATGGCTTTTCTTTTGGGCCTTCTCACCTTCCACGGGGGCTATTACCGTGCGCCTATCTCAGAGGCACACTCTCTTCAATCTGTAGGGTACTCATTGGTGATAAATCTCCAGGTTGGGGTGGGGGGGGGTGCCTTTGCTGTAATGCGTGGCTGGCTTGGAGCATTGCTTTTTCAGGCACTGCACCACGACCGACGGTGCGCAAGGCCCGTTCACGGCCTGGTCGCTGGGAGGGAGAAGTATGCTGTACTGAACATGTAGCACGTGGCTCTTTCTGGGGACATGCTCGATTTTGTAGAATTCGACGGGGCGGGGAAGGGCCAGCATGTGCCTTTAATGCATGCTTTGGTGTCCTGTCTCACGCAGGTTCCCGAGATGGTTCCATGGGGCTCTGGGAAGTGACAGACGAGGTCCTCGCCAAGAGCGACGCAAGGCGCAACCTGTCGCGAGTCCCCGTCTATGCCCACATAACGCACAGGGCTCTGAAGGACATCCCCAAAGAGAATACCAATCCGGACAACTGCAAAGTCCGGGCTCTCGCCTTCAATAACAAAAACAAGGTTAGGAAAATAGGCAGAACTCTCAAGGTGCAAAATCCCCTTTTCCCATTGCGGATACCAGAAGTAAGATGGAAGCAAGAGTGGTCCTTCTAGCCAAGAGGAACGCGTCTAGCCTTCAGGCCGTGGGCTCCCTTCTTGTTAAGAGGACCTTAAATGAACTGTCTTGGGTTCCAGGCTTCTAGCAGTAGTGCATTGGACTCTTCCAAGCGGGAGCACGTGAGATTTGTCCATTCCACAAAGCCCATCATACTTCCACTCCATGCTGCTTTCCTTAGCACGCTTCTGCCCCAAAGTGTGGGTCCCTTTGAGGAGGTGAAGGGGGCACGTCGTGAAAGCACTGAGCCGGAGGGCTTCCCGTGGGTCCTAGGGGCAGGCATCTTGTGCAGGCCTTCCACAATCAGTGGCCAGGCCTTGCACTCTGCTCAGCGTGTGGATGTTTGTGAAGCTTCCCGGTGGACGATGACCCTCTTTTTTTCCTAGGAGCTGGGAGCAGTGTCCCTGGATGGGTATTTCCACCTCTGGAAGGCAGAATGCACGTTATCAAAGGTGACTTGCTGCGCCTGCTAGATAGCCGGGCCTGGTTTGTTAACCCGCTCAGTCAGCCAGTTTTAGCCGAGGGTTCCTGACTGCATATAATAGACACTCTGGCATACGATAAGTGGGGAGTGAAGCCCTGAGGCTGGCCTGGGAGGGGAGGGAGGACCACATGAGCCTGGCATTTGGTGCTGACTCAGTTTACAGTGCTGGAAAAGATCCTCCGAAAGTAGCCAGTGTCTCTGAGATGTAATTCTTTCATTCTGCACCACCAACACGCTCTGTCTTCAGGACCCGGGAAAAGCTCCAGGCTGAGTGGGACGTGGGGGTGAGCTTTAGGAAGCTTGGTGGGATGTTCTTTTGAGCTGCCATGTCTAGAATCAAGCTCTAAACAGGCAGCGTTGTCTGAGTGCAGGCTGTCTTGCCATCGGCCGCTGCCTTTCCATTGGGACAAGTTCATTATATTGGAGGCTCGATTTTTAGACTGCTGCTGTGTTTAGTTTTGGATTGAATTGTTTTGCCTACTTTATGTGTTTAGTTTGTCATAACCTGGTTTGGTAAGCTACCTTGGATGGCTTTGCTCTGTTTTTCTAAATTCCTCAAAGGGGGAGAGAGCATGCAGCCCTTCACTGTAAGAATCCTTTCTTCATTGATTTATCCTTTAATATTTCATCTCTCTTAACTCAGGCTGACAGTTTGAAATAATAGACTTGGAGGTATCAGCTCTGACGCAATGATCAAGAAGTGGGAAGGCATGCTTGGCTCGCCTGTCTGCCCGCTCTGTTTCAGATCGAAATCCCGCATAGTGCAGAGAAACACCATATGATTAGTCCTCCCACTGCACACCCTTTCAACGTGGCCCACAGCTCCACGCTAGGATTTGCGCTGATCCCCGAAACGAACTTGGATGCTCGCCTGAGCCTTGGGATCAGCTCGTTAATCTGATTAAGGGCGGGGCAGTGGACATGCAGCAGACAGGAAAGGACTTCCTCCATGTGACCTTAGCCAGGGCTTCTGTGGATGATAGTTCAGAGGTGGACCAGAAGGCTAGGGATGGGCACACGTGTGCATTTTTGGAATCGAGGGGTGGGCAGGGCAGGGACGACGGCAGGTTCCAAACTGCTCCTCTGTCCAGAACATGCGGTGAGCACTGCAAGCCAAATTCGGGGCCAGCAGAGCTCTCGGTGTGTTTCAGACCATCTTTGGGCTCAGCTGTCTTCCTTCTCCTTGGGCCTGCTCTTATTCTTGCACCCCTGTTCAGATTTGGATAGATAAGGAAGCGGGACTGCTGTATCCTGTGTGTATTTCACTGATTATGCACCCCTCCTATGTCCTCTTCTGGCTAAGCACCCATAATTGCCCTTTTTTGCCCAGGAGCACAGAATCTTACCTTTTCTTTCCTCCTCCTATGAAATCATGCAGGCTCCAGTGCAGGTCATTCAGTAGCTCCGTGTTGGTCTTGAACTGAAAGTTTCAAATCAGAGTTCAGCTCCTGTAGTGTCCGCCGTGCTGATTCTTGTGGGGCGTGTTTTGCTTCTTCCAGCTGCTGTCCACAAAGCTACCATACTGTCGGGAGAACGTTTGTCTGGCCTATGGTCAGGAGTGGTCCGTGTATGCAGTCGGCTCTCAGGCCCACGTCTCCTTTCTGGACCCAAGGCAGCCTTCCCACAATGTCAAATCCGTCTGTTCCAGGGAGCGAGGCAGCGGTAAGGACTCCTTGCAGTCGGCCTCCCTGTTGCGGCTACGGGTGTATCTGCACGGAGGTCCTGGCTGGGTTTGGCGCATACGCGAGGCGCTCCAGGTGCCTGGGGATCACAGGGGGGGGGGTGATGCAGCGGAGGCCCCCTCCTGTTGCATGCAGGCTGCGCCCAGGCAGGGAGGAGACCGGAGTCATCACTGGGCTGGCATTGAGCCGGTGCAGTCATTTGCCGGAAGCAGGGAAAGGTGCGGCTTCTACAGCTGCTCCTAGTTAGCAGGGGACCAGTTCCCATTGTCCTCCCGTTCCTACGTCCGTGCCGCACGAGTGTTCACTCAGAAGAGCTCGGTGCAACTAGGGACGTTTATGCCCTCAACAGCTGCCCTTTCTTACGGGGATTCGGGGAGGGGTGCGTAGTGGAGTGACAGTCTGGAAAAGTCACAGTGGCACATTGTGTAGGTGTTGAAGTGTCTGCAGAGTCAGCTCAATAGGGCAAAATCCCCTGTGAAGAGTGGAAATGCAGCAGCAGCTAAAAGAGGCCTTGTGGGTCACCTTCACATCCGGTTTCCTGCAAGAAACAGCCACTCTCCTTGGTCCTCTGGCTTCAGGGATTCAGGGCTGCAAATTAGCCAGCAAATTCTGGCTCAGCCTGCTCTTACAGACCTCTCCGAAGGTGGAGTTTCAGTCTTGAAAGCGTGAGAGGTGTTGTACCTTGTGGTGAGCCAGGAAGGAGGTGCATCACTGCTCTTTCAAAGGTCCCCTCTGTGCCCAGCTGTGTGGGAGATGTCTGTTCTTGTCTGTTTTCTAATTTCCCCTTTAATACAACACAGCCTGAGGATAATTTGGCTTACACAGGCACTGTGTTGCTGACCTGTATTCAGACTGAGAATAAATCTCCCCACCACCTTCTTTTATGCATTGCTGTTAGTTTCTTCCCCAAGTAGCAACCCTGCTTTTGCAGATCCTTTCACTTTATTTATTTTCCCCGTTTTCTTAATGAATTCAAGTCATGTTTGAGTTACGATCCTGGCCTCTGCAGCACCTGATGTTTGACGTTCCTCGCCGCTTTCTCCTCCGAGTCACCAAGGACGTTGCTCAGATCGCCCAGGCCCTTGCTGGGTTTGGCACTTAGGCAGATGTTGTGAACCACGGTGGACACCCCTTTTAGCTAGTCGTGCGCGTCTTCCAACTCTTTTTCGTTTTAAAGAGCAGGACTTGCAAGATGCACAAACACTAAGACTTATCTAGTCCATTGAGCTCAGCTTGCCAACAGGAGCTATTTTCCCCTTTGGAGAAAGAAATGGAACCTGACACGATTTTCATCCACGTGCTTCTTTCTGGAGTGCTGACTTTGTATTCATGTTTGTGTGAATATAAGTTGTTCCGGCGTTTCTCTTCCTGCATCTTCCCCTGGGTATGAAAGTGAGACTGGTTGTTCTAAAGCATCTCACTCTTAAGTGCAAGAGCAGTCCTTCAGCAGTTCACTTTACTTCTCTAATTCGCCTGTGGCCCTTTGATCTTTTATTCCAAGGTCCATTATTTGATCAGTGAAAAGGTTGCACAGAGCATAAAGACCTCTTTCCCAGGCAAGTTGTTGGAAAAAGCAGGTGGGGAGAAGGAAGGAAAAGAGTGACCGGCTGCTGAAGCCGCGGGGTCTGCATGGTCACAGCCTTGAGGTGCAGCGGGGGAGGAGGGTCTGCAAACACGGAAATAAAACTCTGGCAGGTGAAGGGATGGCTTCAGGTTTCACCTGAAGTTCCTCTACGGCTGCTCTCCTAGGCCGTAACGTTGCCTAGGAATTATTATTATTAATAGAACATTTCTATGCCGCCCCTTGCCGAAGCCTTGGGGTGGAGGCAAAACAGGCCAAATTAGAGGCAAAACAGGCCAAAGAATCCGTTGGGCCTGAATTCTGGCTCCCAAAAGCCTTGCCCCAGAGCTTTTGTCTGCCCCAGAGGTAATTCTCATTTTGTGTCCATAGGGGAGTTAGAATAGGTGCCACCGTTTTGGCAGTCTGTAGCTCCCGGGGGCGGTGTTGGTGGATGGGGGGGATGGGGAAGTGCCTGGCTCCTTCGCACCCATCTGCAGCGGCATTCCATAAAGAGCCCCTGTTCATTTTCCCTACAACTTGCCGGGTATTTGAACAGGTCCTGTTTGCTGGGCCGTCTCTTCTGCCTTTGTTTAGGGTCAACAGCTGCTTGACAGGGGGTCCCTGCTGCAGTGACTTGGGCTTGTTGGCAACACAAGATGTATTTTGCTCACCACGAGGGCAAATGACCTCTCCTGACTGACTCCTTTGACTTCCTGCTCGGTTCAGGAAGAACCTTGGGGCTGCTTTTGGTTGTTTGGCTGCCCTAACGCCCTGGTCCCTCTCCTGTGCCAGGTATTCGCTCTGTGAGCTTCTATGAACACATCATCACGGTGGGGACCGGGCAGGGGTCCTTGCTGTTCTACGACATCCGAGCCCAGAGATTCTTGGATGAGAAGCCGCCACACGGTTGCTGCACGTCCAGATCAGGAGGAAACGAGATTCTCAAGTTGTCCACTGGCAAAGGTTGGCTGGTGAGTAGCTTGCAGCAGATGCTGGGGAGAGAAGCGTCGTCCAGGAGTGATTGAGATCACACTGGGAGAAGCCGAAGCAAGTTTTCCAGTTTTCTTTGCAGCGAACCACTGGAAATGGAAGCGCTTGCTTTCCCTCTCCCAAATTTTCTTGCTCACTGTTAAGGCCTCAGAGTGTGGGTGAAAGAGACAGCCGCTTGGCTTGGGCTAAACTTCAGTGGCTCAGCAAGATTCGGCTCAGCTCGAGTCCTAAAATACCTGCACCAGCAGGACAGTTTGGGAAACTTCTTTGCCCGTAGCGGGAGCGACGCATGCTCTTCCGGGGGCCTCTGCTGACTTCGGAGCGCACGCAGGATGTGTTCCCAGGGATGCCCAGCCCCTGGGACACGAGGCGGGGGGCAGTGGCAGGAAAGGTCAGGTGTGCCGTGGTCGCAGGCTCAACTGATGTGAGCTTTCCTTTGGCAGAATCATGATGAAACCTGGCGGAATTACTTTTCAGACATCAGCTTCTTCCCAAACGCCGTTTACACCCACTGCTACGACTCGTCCGGCACGAAGCTCTTCGTGGCAGGAGGCCCACTTCCATCGGGACTCCATGGGAATTACGCTGGTCTCTGGAGCTAAACACTCTTTCGGAACAAAGTTCTCTGGTGCGATTTCCCCCTTCTTGCCCACATTTTCTTTCCTTTTTAAAAAGGCAGACAAAGGCATTGTGTGATGACCTTGTTCTCTTCCGACTTTCATGCAACTTGGGGTTGACTATCTTTTGAGAGCGGAACAGCGTCTTTTGGTCTCCCGGGAGTTTTTGTACATTTTTGAACTGTTTTTCGTTTTTTTCATTTTGTTTTTTGTTTAATCTCGTTTGATCTTTATACAGTGGGTTTTTTGAACCCTCCCCCCTTTTATTGCATTCTCTCCCCCCAGTGGCTGAGTCTTGGCCCTGAGCTTAGGCTAACCAAACATTCACGTCCTCTCGTCCCGCTACTTCACTGTGAGGTAGGAATCCTCCACTCAGTCGGTTGCTGCCGAGCTTTCTGTGAAAGCCCGGGGCTGCGTGTGCGTGTATGTGTGAGTGCGTGCGTGCGTGTGTGCATACAGGTACTTTTGTCACTCACATTACCTGGAATAAAAAACTACTTGTAATTAAAAGGGAAAAGATTAAAAAGTATTTATATAATGAGATAGGCTACTGGTTTATCCACAGTGCCAGCTTGCATCTGGCTTCCTGCGGTTTTGGAAAGTACAAGTTTAATGATGGAGCATCTGTCACGGGGGTCTGACATTTGGCCCATGGCCCAGGCCTGCTGTGCCTTTATCACCCGGACCACCTCTCGCCTTCATTTCCCCTTCCCACCCCGGGGTGCCTCGGAAGGATGATGGGGTTGTGAAGACGCAGGCTGGGAGGGAGGCTGCCTCACAGTGGTGGGGGGGGGGATTGTGGACGGGGGGAGGAGGGCGACAGGCAGCCCGAAACCGTGTGTGCGAGAGGTTTTCCGGCAAAGCGGCAGGACCGTTGTGTGACACGCAGCCCACTATGACGCTGGCCGGCAGACGCCCTGCCAAGAACCGTTTTAACTGGCTCCCTTTCCCTGTTGAGAAGTTGGATTGCCTTAATAATAAAACCCAACGCTAGGCAGGCATCAGACCTCCAAAGCAAACCCACCTCACGCCAGACAGAGAGAGATTAGATTTGGCAATCACGCTTCACATCCAGTATTTCTGTTTTTAGTCACTTTCGGTGTACTGCTAAAGCACGTGTTCTTCAACTTCTGTGAGCGGGGCCACCCGTACGTACGCAAGGAACCCCTAAGTTCAGAGCCCGGCTTCCAAGGCTGCCTTGTCAAGCAGCTCACAGAAGTTCCTGGCCTGCCGAGAGCAAATACACTGGCCTGAGAAGCTAACAGCCCGTGTTTCCGTGCCAAGCACACAGGAGAAAAAGCCCATCCAAAGTGAATAGGGAGGAATATGCTGAAAGCCTCTTGCCAGGCTGCAACAACCAACTTCTCCCAACTGGACGAGGAATCGGGTAATGCCTTGGCACTGGAAAGCTGCTTGGTGAGGGCACAAGCCGCGTGTGTTGCTCGCTCACCCGTGTGCAGTTCCTTGTCGGCCCCAGCTGCCAGGCAAAGCAGAGAGGTGTGTGAGAGGTGTGTGGGCCATTACCTGGCCAGTGTGTTTTCTGGCTTCCTGCTGGACTTCCACAGGGGCCTAGGCAGCCGCATGGCAGCTGGGTCAGACCACGCAATGAACCCTTCTCCTGCCCAGGACGGGCTCCTGCGGGAGTAGCGAGGCGTGAGGCCACTGCTTGCCAGCCAAGAGGCAAAAGTAGCCTAAATTAGGCACTTTGGCCGCACTTGGCCGGCATCCAGATAGGTCAGCCGTCACTGCAGTCTTGGTCAGGTTATGGCTGTGCTGCTGAGAATGACTCCCGTCCCCTGGGAGCAACTCAAGGCTCCGGAAAACCCGAAGAAGCCGCCTGGGAGGAGATGCTTCCTGCTGCATCCTCATGCATGATTTACGGCTCTGGGCTGGCCTTTGCCCGAGCAGCTTCTGCTGGCCTGGCACCCCATGTCAGCCCTGGGCATGAAGTGCTCCCAGGCCGGAGAAGCGGGCCACCCAGCTGCCCTGAGGGAAGGGTGATCGTGGGACCCGTCTTTCTTCTGGAGGAGGATGCCTGCCGGAGTTGAGGGCAAATATTCCCCAGTTCTCCTCTTGGATAGGGGCAGGATAAGTAGGGATTCTGCTTCCTGCTTCTGATTGAGACCGTGTGTCTTGGCTGCAGAGTATCTGAACTCCCCGGACAGCCTCTGCTGAAGAGAGCTGCAAAGTCCCAAGGGAAAGGGAGCCCTGTGTGATGTCTGGGCAAGATACCGGATTCCTTGCAGGACACCAGATAGTTCTGGACCTTGTCCAGAAGAACTGTGTTGTGATTGCTGTATGTGGCACTCGAGGAGAATGCTGCTGTCCGAAGAGCCCCGTGGGGGATATGAGCTCGAAGTTCAAAGAGTGCTTCATTTCTGAGCTAGGCCTAGAGCCCTGCCTTCAGGCTGCGGCAGTAGCCAGACTTGGTGCTGTGCCGCCCAGCTGCCTGTGAAGGGCAGGATTTTACCACTCATTTTACCACTTTGCCACACATGTGATGAGGGGTCAGCTTCTGGAGGACTAGCTCCTTGCTGGAGTACAGCAGTAATTTGCACGCTGAGATCATTGCTCCCGCATGAATAATCTTGTCGATGTTGCATTAGATCAACTCCATAAAAATAAGAAATGAAGTAGGTAAATGTAATTGAATGATATTTGAAAGAGGGTCATCCGTCTAAATTATGTTCATTAATTGCCTGGATGTAGAAGGGCGTGTTTTGTAGCGCTGTCTTAAAAGTAGCTGCAGTGCTAAGCATTCCATTTCCGTATGCCTGGTCCTTCAATCCCTGCAGATTCTCCCCTGTCCACATGTCGAAGCAGCGTCCAGACTCACTCCCGTACTCCCCGGAAGTGGGTGAGAAGGCTGCTTCGGAAAAAGGTGCTCGGACACCAGTATTTCTGTCCTCTGGAGCGTCCATGGGATCTTCCTTAAGCATCCCGGGGGAGATAGTCGGCAAGCAACTCCGAGCCCTGCGGCAGACGGCAGTGTGAACCCCACCTTGGTTTTCCCAGGGGTAGAGAAGGAACCACGTGGGGGGGGGGGGGCTAGGGGGCATTTCAGAGGTTGTGGAAGGAGAAGCGAGGACTTGAGTACAGCGAGGTTTAGGATTGGCAAGGATCACAGCCCCCCCCCCCAGTGAAATGTTATATTGGGGTAACAGCAGGTTCCCTCCCAAATTGTGGCATTTTTTTACCTCTTATAGCAATGATAGCAACAGATGCCATTTTTAAACCCCAGGATCTGTGCCTTTGGCATTTATAATACGCCTGTGCCTACACACTGCCGTGGGTGGAACCAGCGGGGACGGCTTCTCTTTTTGCTGGCAAAAGACCGTGGGCTCAACAGAGTCTCCGTCAATCGAGGACCCCTGGCCAGATACGCCATGGGGCAAGCCAGTTTCCAAGTATGTCTGACGTTCGCACATCACGTGCTTTGTTGTGGTGTATAGAAAAATGGTTTGGATTTGCTGTTTGAAAATCATGTGTGACATGGCTCCCGGCCGAGTGAAGAGAGCAGTCCCGGCTCGTTTGCCCCCATCTTGCCTAAATGGGGTTGCTTGAAAGAACGTTCCCTCAGCTCCCTTGATTTGAAGGGAGTTTGGTTGGCTGGGTGCTGCCCCCGACGTCTCGTTAAACTTGTACTCTTCAAAAGTAACCTGTGCACCTGGTCAGCTCTTCTCATAGCCTCCCACAGTCTCAGGGTTTATGTCACTTGCAATTTTTCATCCAAATAACACACTGGACCAATCAGAGGTCGACGTGCCTTTTTCCAATGGTACCTTGATCTTTGTAAAGCTGCCCGTTGAAGGTTTTGCTGTCTGTCACCGTCTAAACTGGATAATTGTTTTGGGGGGTTTTTTCTACTTAAAAAAAGACTGAGAGAGAGATACTGACATGTCCTGCCTGGAACCAGCCTGTTCAATGGATTGTAACTTTTTTTCCCATTTGATGTTGAAGATTGTGGTGTATAAAATCAAATGTATGCCTATGTCTGGAGTGAGAGTTTTTCCACAAACTAAACATGTTCAGTGAATGTTGAGCCACCTTGTTTTTAGATGGTGATCTGAAAGATCTTGTTGCAAATAGATGGCTATTAGGCTGTGAATCAAAAGCAAAATACTTAATTCCAGGTTTTTTCCTTTGCCTTCCTTATCTCTAAAGGCTACAATTGCATTTCCCATTATGTTTCCCTAAGTGTCTGGATGAGCCTTACTTTCAACTTCTGACGTGCAGGTGAGCAGAAGGGGGACTAGCAATCATTCCCCCCCGCAAAAAAAGTCATTTGATTATACTTCATCTGGAAATAGAAAATTATGAATTTGCATGCATTTTACATGTTTCGCCCACTTGAAAGCTTCTGGAGTGGGTTGGGGAATCGGAGTTTGGGAACCATCCGAAGGCAATTTAAACGCATTGCTGCTTTAAGAGGTGGGGCAGTGAAGGAAGGACTGGGAAAGACAGACTGCTGCTGTCATTCCTGGTGCGCCTAGGGCACAATGCGAATGCCCCGAGCCTCCGGCAAGTGCCTGATGCTCCCTTTGGGCCAGAGGCGCTTCCCACGTAAAACAAGCGCCGGAGCTTGGGGGCAGCGTGTGGGAAAGGCCCCGGTTTGGCCCTGGCATCTGCTAGCGGGTTGCTCCAGGCTAAGTGCCCTTCCCTCGTGGGGGTTCCTGGAGGGGCAGCAGCAGCCCCCAGGTCCCTCTGATTGAAAGGAGAGAACAGCCCCGACGTGGGGGAAGTTGCCCGAGCATGGAACGCACACAATCGCACAGGTTCGGGGTCCGAAGTCCTGCTTTTGTGTGTGGCGAGGGGGTGTCCTACCCCCCTTCAATCCTCTTGGCTGGGCAATACGCCCCACCCTCAAAATAGAAACCAGCATCCCCTGCAGCCTTGCAGTGGGTCTCGCAGTGTGCCTCTGACTGCAGCTGCTCTTTGCTGCTCTTTGGATTCTCGCCTCAACGATCTTGTCCTTGCTCTTTTCACTTCTGGCTCGTGTGCTCTGCTTGCAGGATGGGCTTTTCCAAAGACGGCTATGGGCACCCATGATCCCCACCCTCCCACTGTGTGTGTGCCTGCTTGGCCCCTTTTTGCTTACCCGTCCCCTGGCCACCTCGCGGTGGCAGGCAGTGGCTCCTTCCGCCCATCTCAAGTTGGTACGATTTCCTGCAAATGTAAGTATTTCCACCGCACGGCTTCCAAAATCATTCCTGGCCGTCTCTGCTCGAGGGTGTATTCTCCAAAGCAGGAAGTGTGGGACTCGTGGTATCGGAGGGGCTCCCGTACCGAAGGGCCTCTGTGCTGAGCTAGCGCAGACCAGCCCGTGTTCTTCGTAGGCGTGAACTGTGCCTGAGCCACTGGATGCACGTCGGGGCAGAGAAAACGCCCGGCCGAATTCTCCTGGGGCAAGATGGAGGGCGGAAAACGCGGCAGACCCGGCTCCCTCAGAATGGAAACGCCTCCGGGTTTAAGCTGCAGAGCGGGAGTCCCCTGGGAATGTCTTGGAAAGTTTTCTTCACAGCTGCTAGTGGTGCAAACCTGCTTATGGCAAAGATCAGTTTTCTGCTTCGGAAAGGAAGGGGGATGGTAGCAGGAACCCATCTAACTGCCGACGCCATGGGCTGATTTCCGAAAGATGTTGTTTGACGCTGTCAGTGGCCGAGAGCCCATCTCTTACGGACAACCTCGGCAGATGCCCACTGAGAAGCGCGCCGGAGCTGCTGTCCATTTGAGCTGGCGTCCTGCAAGTGAGAGGTGGTCCTTTCTCAGCAAGGGTCTTGAGACAATTTGCCTAGCTTCCTTCCAGTAATCATACTTTTTTTAAAGCCCCAAACACTGCTTTACCCACCATTCACAGAACTAGGGACGCATAAAGTGCCTTGAGAGTGTCTGTTATTTGTGTAGGCAATCCCTTTCTGACCTATACATAAATTCTTCCTGTTGAAGCGCATGTGGTCTAATTTTAAGAGAAGAAGGGCTGGTCCTTCCCCACAAACGCTGCAGGAGCTGGTGCAGCACCCGCTCAGTGCCTGTTTATTAAAATGCAAACAGTATTAAATCTTTGCCCCTAAAGCGAATTCAAATGTCTGGACTCACGACTCCTGGGGATTTTTATTTATTTATTTAAAATATTTCTATGTCTCCCAATTGTGCCGTAGCACCTTTGGGCAGATCACGAGATAAAATACAATAAAAACGTAATAATAGAGAGCCAGTGTGGTGTAGTGGTTAAGAGCGTGGGACTGGGACTCAGGTGATCTGGGTTCGAGTCCCTGCTCGGCCATGGAGCCAGCTGGGTGACTTTGGGCCTGTCACAGACTCTCAGCCCAACCTACCTCGCAGGGTTGTTGTGGGGATAAGATGGAGGAGGAGAATGATGTAAGCTGCCTTGAGCCCTTTGTAGGAAAAAGGCAGGATATAAATCTGGGGGCGGGGGGGAACCATAAGACATTAAAAACAACAGTAACATCCAGCAAAGCAAACAAAAAGATCTACGGCAATAGACCTTTTGAAAAATAAATTGGGATTTGCATTCATAGTGTATCTGGGTAAAAGCTGTTGTTTATTTATTTAAAACATTTCTATGCTGTGCCTTATAAAGCTCCGCTCTCTGGATGGTTTGCAAACATTTAAAATATAAAACAAAACCCAGCATCACAATAAGATAAAATGAAAAACGATTTCACAATCATGATCAATAAAAAAATTATATAACCAATAACAGTAAACAGAATATGAAAGCAATGACAGAAACCAATAGATATTAAATAATTGATCCTCAGTACCTCAATAAAATAAATTTCAACAAAATACTGAGAAAAAAGGGTTGAGGCTGGTACTGAAAGGTGCAGAGTGTCGGTGCCAGGTACACCTCTCTAGAAAGCTGGTTTCACAAATGGGGCCGCCGCCGAAAAGGCCCTTCTCCTAGCAGACACGTGCATCCTTTACCTGTGGAGAAGTCCCCTGATGCTGACCCTGAGGTCTGGACAGGTGTGCACAGGGAGGGAGGTTCCACCAGGTCTTTAAAAGAAATGAAGTCAGACAAGCTGCTAGCCACTTGTGGCCCCAGAGCTGCTGTTGAACAGGAGATTGTCAGTAACATTTCAAATGCTTGGCTGACTTCAGGCCTCTTCCTGTGGATTGTGCCCTCAAGGCCTCTGGCGAGGCTTGTGGGGTAATTCCACACTCCATAACCATGACCATGTCGTGCTGCTCCTGTGCCATCTGCACCGGCTCCCGATTGAGGTCTGGTCCAGTTCAAGTTGTTGACCATGACATAGAAAGCCCTAAATGGTTTAGGGCCTGGGTATCTTAAGGCACACCTCCTTCCATATACACCTGCCTGGTCCTTAAGATCTTCCACAGAGGTCCTTCTCCGAGAGCCCTCTTGAGGGGAGTGGGGAGGGCAGCCACGAGAAGGGCCTTGTCCGTGGTGGCGCCTCCACTGTGGAATACGCTCCCCAGAGAGGTTCATCCGGCACCGACTCTGTTCTTCCTGGCACCAGACCAAAACCTTTTGATTTGACCAGTATTTAAATTGTCCATTTTAATATATATTTTATTTTATTTTAATCAAGTGCTGCAAATGGTTTTTATGTTTTCAGCATTGTAGACTCTCTCGAGATTTTCTATGAAAATAACAGAAATATAGAAATACTTAAATGATAAAACATTTCTTCCCATGGGATCTTGTGAAATCACTGACATTCCGGCTTGCGGAACTCTGCCAGCTTGAGTTACTGATGTGGCGCTGTTTGCTTGAGCATTCAAACATGAGAGAACGAGCTATAGGGAAGAACAGAATATGCCACATTATACAGTGGGATGTGAGAATCTTTCAGAATCCTTTGAAGAGTGTTACATTTGGAAAGGGGGCTCCTATTCCAGTCAGTTTCTTCTGAATCCCGTATGCAAGAGTCTACTGGAAATTGCACATTTTATTTATTTTTATTTATTTATTAAAACATTTTTATGCCGCCCCATTCGCCAAAGCCTCGGGGCGGCTTACATCACTAAGTTAAAATAATTATAATATAAATTAAAAATACAAATATTAAATTTAAAATACAACAATACAGTATAAAATAAGCCGCCCTGGCCAGATAAAATCCAATAATATTAACAGTTAAAATGCCGCTTGAATAAAAAGGTCTTACATTTAACATGTAATGATTCATCAACACTGCAAAATGTGACTGAAATTCGACCAAGAGTAAAGCAAAGGGCCTGCTTAATTGTGTTACAAGGAGTTAATGGAATTTCTCTCCGGTTTAATTCTACGGCTCAGGATAGCAAGACCATAAGGAGATCAGACCGAAGGCACCTTTCAGAGCTACAGTGGCCAACCGTATGCCCCTGAGAAAGAGTGCACATGTTAGCGTTCATAAAACTCTTGCCGCTTGTTTTCTTGGGCACTGTGTGGTGCCCGTTCTTCACTCCAGAGGAAAGAACATGGGTCTGGTTAAGACCTCTTTTAGCATGGGAAACGGCCCCACGGATTTGCAGCACTGGCTGTGTCAGGGCCTGAGCATCTTCCTTTTGGACTAGGCATCAGTGGGAAGGTGCCAGAAAAAAGAGCCGTTGATCCTGCTTTCAGCTGTTGTACAGGATGCGTGGATTTGTGGTGCTGAGGAGAGCGTAAGTGCGGCGTTTTCCCCATTAATCCGGAACAGCTGCCAACTGGCTGCTTACTCCAGCTATGTTGGAAGATTGCGGCTCAGCCCTAAATCTACGCCCTCCATGCGACAGTTAAGCTCTGGACCTTTCTCTTTGGAAGATTCTTGGTGGTCTGACTGAGACACAAGCAAGGACAAGACGGCAGCATTGGGGCCATCTATATGGCCGTCTGCCAAGCGACTCTTTCCTACTGCTTTGTTCTATAGAGTAATTGTTCTTACCTCCCTTTGGGGATTTGCCAGCCCCCTCCTCCCCCTCCCATCCCTCTGTGTGAACTGAAACCCGGTGAGCAGCCATATTTGCACATCTTAATAT